CTGAGGGAGACTGTAAGGATCAAATGAGATGCTCTATCCAACGCAGCTGCATTTAATTCTTACTTCTTTATAAGCACTTAATGAATGTTGGTTATAATTACATCCTCAAATTTTTACTTTTTTTGGTACCAGGGACTGAACCCCTAGCCATTCAACCACATCCCCAGCCCTTTTTGAGTCAAGGTCTCACTAGATTGCTTACAGCCTTGCTAAACTGCTGAGGCTGGCTTTGAACCCGCAATCCTCCTGCCTCAGCCTCCTGAGCCGCTGGGATTACAGGGGTGTGCCACTACACCCAGAAAACTTTTACTTTTCTTAATTTCTAAAACTATCATATGGTAATAATTGACTTTTTGTTTTTTGATTATATCAATTCTCATACCTGTGTAGATTTATGTGCTCCCCCTCACCTCCTCAAAAGGCAGACACACAGCAAGTTCTCTCTCGCCAGATACTTTTTGGTGATATTCCTTTATAGCTAAATTCTCCTCTTACCCCAAACCCTGGTGAGTGTTGTTCTGTTCTTTTTTCACTAGACTCTTAGAACCACTGTGTGTCACCTTCTGTGATGACTTCTTTCACTCAGCCTACTAATACTGCTTAGATACATCCAAATTACTGCATTTATCAACAATGTGCTCCTTTTTAATTGCTGGATAGTATTTTGCCACATGGCTATACTGTGGTTGACTTGCTGAATTGTCACTTTTTAAATAATTATTTCCACAAGCCAAGGAAGGATTCAGCTGCACTTCACTCCTAGGTTCTAAGACTCCCTGGGGAAATTTTGATGATTGCTGAATAGTGTCCTGACTCAAAGCATGCAAAGGACCCAGAAGTCCACGCATTCCTCATACTCGAAAGACATGGGAACCGAAGCCCAAGGATAAATTGCCTAACCTCACACAAAACTGAATCTGAAAGCTGGTCTCTTTTTCTCCTGCCCATGGGAAACCAGGTCCTGGGAGGAGTTCTTGCTAGACATATGCACCTTTTGCAGATGACGCTTGGACAGGCAAGAGCTAATCCTGCCTGCCTGCCTCCTGGTGATTGCCCTTTCTGCCACCTGTCACTGGGAACACTGGGAGCCCACCAGACCAGAGGCCAGTTTCCCTTCCTGGGGCTGTGCACGTCATCACATCATGCAGAACAGGAAGTGATAATGTGCACGGAGTTCAGCTGGAGCAGCCCTGCCCTTAATGGATGACAGCACTTCAGCAATCATTAACAGCCACCGCTACAGGCTGAGCCAAAGCCAGACTGGCCTCCCAGCTGCTCATTTACTACTTTGAACCAGCTTTGCTCCAGCAAGATGAAACTGTGAATCACCCTCCCTGGGGCTTCAGGGTTCCTGTCCTCAACTGGCCCCAGACACAACCCTAGTTCCACATTAATTTCTCAGAGAAAGAGAATCCTGGGGCCAAGGGGAGCTCACAGAGTCAACTCCAGGCTGGAAGAAATTTTCCTACGAGGCACTCTGTCAGAACGGGGCCCCCAGAAGTCACAGTGGGGGCAGAGCCACGCCCTCCCATCCTGGCCGGGGGCCTGAGGACCACCACCCCAGGCCCCCCACTCCTGAGCACCGGTTCCCTGGAGGGACGGCAGCTCCACTTTCCAAGAGGCTCAACTTCTGCCGCTCCATTGCGGGGTTTCATCTGGATCCCAAGCAAGTGAGTCATGAATGTGTGAAAACATGAACTAATATTCATAATCACTGTACAAGATAAAGAACTCGAAGGAAAACCAGCTTCTGTGTGCCTCGCCATTGCCGTCAGGGGTGTACTGTGGAAAACACAGCTTCTCACCGGAATCCCAGACTTCATCTCCCCAGCCAGCCCCAGCCCTGGCAGCCCTCAGCCCCATGAATCCTTCATCCATGGCGTCTCGGGCACCTACCCATCCCCAGGATGGGCAGCCTCCAGAGACCCTGGGACCTCTGACTCCACTGCTTGCCTCCCATCAGGTGCCACTTCAGTCAACATCCACTGGTGCCCAGGTTGGACCTCAGGAGGGAATATCATAGTGTCCCTGTCCCTCCTCCCTCCCCCATTGGTCCCAAGAAGGCCCAGGTTCTCTCTTCCTCCACCACAGTTTTCTGAAGTATCACTAGGTGCAGCGAAGCACGCCAACTTCAAATGTACACGCCATACGTCAACCCGGGTGCGCTGGTGCAACCGCCACTCAAACACATAGGTTGTGTTTCCAGCACCCGAGGAGCTCCCTCATGTCCCTCCTAGAGAATGCCCTCTCCTGAGCTGTGGCCTGAGATTCATCTGGAGTTCAGGCTCTTATTACCTCTCCCCTAACTTACTAAGTAATTTCAATAGATAAATTTTATTGTGTATACTTAAGATCTACAACATGCTATTATGAAATGCACGCAGACAGTAAGAGGTTGCTATAGGGAAGCAAATTAACCATTCATCGCAGCTACGTGTGTGTGTGTGTGTGTGTGTGTGTGTGTGTGAGTGACAACAGCAGTTAAAGTCTTCTCATTCAGAACGAAGTCCACACCCGGTGTGACTTCATTACCCAGAGTCCTCACAGTGCTCATCAGATCTCTACACCTGTTGATCCCACACACCTGCCACTTGGCAAATTAAGTTTGCAATTACTGACTGTCTCTTTCAGTCAGTAATTGCAAACTTAACTCTGGGTCCCTGAGCTGACCTGTGCTGTGCTGCTGGATTCCTGAGGTACAGCTCCGAGGCCCATGGAGGCTTCAGGGTAGGGCACACACCTCCAGCCTCCATCCCTCAGCCCTTCCCCTCTCCTGCACATCGTCCCCTGGTTTCTCTGGGCCTTGTCTTTCATGGAGTGTGACCAAATCTCCCTGGGCTGCAAGCTCCAATCCCAGTTTCTGTCTTGAAGACCCACGGACTCCTCACCCGGGTGTTGCTGGTACCTCTTAGATGCACACTATCGATCCTACTCTGTGGCTCACGCTGCATAATGTGCCAGCCACAGTCTCCTGTGTCTATATGCACTCTCACATCCTTACTGTTCCAGTTCTTGAGATAGCTTCTGGAACTCTGGAATTTCTCAAATTAGCATTTTTAGAAAGTGGGGAAGGGAGGAAATGACCTAGGATTTCTTATTTAGCCCAATATGGGGGGAAAAATCATCACCCACTATCAATAGTATTTCATCCATGTAAAGATCCCGGAGTGAAAAATGAACATTGCAGAGAGGTAACTTCAGAATAAAATGATCTGGCATTCCGTCAACACGATGGCCTATGAAAAACCCACATTGCCCTCATTTTTTTACACTTGCTCTAAAGAAAATTCTCGTAGACCAACTGGCTCCAGGGCCTAGAGACCCCACTGCCCTGCACCCCCAAGTAGAGAGACACCAACACAGGAAACACTCAATGGATGCTCAGTGCAGCTGCTCTGGGCACAGAAAACCATGGGGTTCACAGACAAGCTACTTTTCAGCACTCCAACACGTGAACCCAACACCACGAGGTTTGAGGGGGGTGACACCTCAAAGACCAGGAGGACAGAGGAACTGGCCATTCTCAGTGGCAGAATCGAGCGGCAATCCCAATGTGTTATGTGTCCACAGGACAACTCAAGACAAGCTGCAGGCTCTGTTGTTGGCACAGGTGACTGTCATTATCACTAATCTCAAGCCTGCATGGTGCATAATAACTGATCCTGAAGTGCTTATGGGGGCAAGTGGAGGCCAGAGGGCCAGGAGGTAGGGCCACCACAGCCAGCTATGCACGGCTAAAGAGTGAGCCAGGCTGAAAGCTCACCTGTGCCGCACCCGCCGTGCCAGTGCCCTGGCCTGGGGTCCTTCTATCCCCTGGAGGAAACGCCCTTTTCTGATTTGCACAAAGAACCAAGATTCTAGTGACCCAGACCCTGGATTTCAATTCAAGGCTCACAATACCTCTGGTCAAATATACACATACACGTACACGTACACACACACACACACATCCAGTGAATCCAGTGAACCCTTGTTCAGAGAGCCAACAAAGGATGCATGCAGAAGAGGATATTAAAAGTATTTAAGGGAACCATCTTAAATGACATTTCTAGCTCAGCATGGAGGTGTGGCACACAAAGCCACTCTGGAGGCTTAGGCAGGAGGATCACTGGAGCCCAGGAGTTCAGGGCCAGCCTGGGCAACACAAGGGACTCCCATTTCTCCAAAAAAAAAAAAAAAAAAGCCATATTTTTCTTAAAAGTTGTATTATTTACATGTTATTAAAATTCATTAAATTGTCTCTTGAATGACTTCTACCAAGGTTCTAGCTTTAAACATTAATTTTTAATAAATATCACACCCCGTTAATAAAAACTCATCTACTCATATTTGACTATTCTGGTTCTTCCCTATTTGTTCCTATTAGTTTAAAATAGTTTTATTTAACTTTAGTGAAAAGGTAGAGAAATCTATACTAAGCAGCATCTGCAGTGTCTACAGATATTAAAAAAAAAAAAAAAGAAAGAAAGAAAAAGAAGATTTAGTTAACTAGGGATTGAACCAGTGCAGTGTTTAACCACTGAGTCACAGTCCAGCCCTTTTTGTTTTATTTTGAGATAGGGTCTCACTAAGTTGCTTATGGCCTTGCTAACTTGCAGATGCTGACTTCCAACTTGCAATTCTCCTGCGTCAGCCTCCTGATCTGCTGGGATTACAGGCACTTGGCTAAAATTTAAATCTTCTATATAGTACACAGAGCCCAAACACTCTTAGGGTCATCTGGTGATGAACTCATCCCCATTGTTGGATGAAAACTATAAATAAAATTCATTTAACGGTTCATTCAACAAACCTGGGTCAGATTTGTTTGTATACCCTCAGTGTTTTCTCAGTTCTCAAATGAAACTCATGTTTTGGAACGATAAGTGAAATGACGAAACATTCGCAGCGAGGTATCAATGTGGGCGGTCCCTCATACAAGGCCTGGCCCCTCCCAGGCATGAGGACCCAGAAGATGCTCCTCCCGCTCGGCAGACATGTCCCAGCAGCTGCCTTCTTACCTGGATGGTGGTGTTGCCTCCTTCCAGAAGGGCTATGGCCAGGAGGATGCTTTCGTGGAACACCCGGTCACTGGACGCGTTCATAATGAGGTCGATGACCAGATTGGAGGCTCCCTCCTTGTCAAGGTGACACTGAACCTCGGCCAGGCTCATCTCACCCCTGCTCATGGAGCTGGATCCCGAACCTCCCCCTGAGAAGACAGAACATTGCTCTCACCAAACGAGTCAGGGTAGTGAATGAACACTTCTGCATGCTCACACTGATGGACACATCAGACACTCATATTTTCCCTGAACGAGCTCTCCTTACCCTCTCAACACCCCCCGAAAGGAAGTGCTGCTTACTAACACAGAGAGAAGAAGTGGGGTGCTCAAGGATGCCCAGCTTCCAGTAAGTGGCAGAGATGGTGCTGAACTCAGGTAAATAAGATGAAGGAAAAATGACATTTCCTTCAAAGTCCTCTAGCCAGGACTAGTACATTAAAATACAATCACTTGGGGCAGAATTATCAAGAACTGGTTTGAGAGATGAACCATACTGACTGTGAAACACTCCTAAGGAAGCATGACTGTAATGATCACTACAGCCTTCTTTCTCCAAACCCACCATAGCCCCAGACTCATCTGGTCCATTCATTCAACATTGATGCAGGGCTTGGCATGGAGCCAAGCACTGGGGACAGGGAGAGTGGGCTGCTGAACTGACAGAAAGACCGTCCCTGTCACATAATGGGCAACTTGGAAGCTCTGTTTTCATACAGCTTCAGACCAAATGGATACATCTAAGAAAATGAACCTGTGCCGTTCATTGGAAAGGATTCTGCATGGTTGCGAAGTATTTAAGAACATGCCTTGTATGACCATGGGCAATGCCACAAATGATAGTGCACATGGATAAAGGGGCTGATCGGAATCAGGAAACAGAAAACTGTCCATCAGCCCTTCCCTGCCAAGGTCAAGTAAAATGCCCTTCCTTTGCACTGCTTGCCCTTGGCTGTGACCTCAAGTCCACAGTGAGTACAAGGTGGAAATGGCTTGCACTGTCTTCTCTGCTACAGCTTCTTACAGCTGAATATGTCTCCTGGCATTCCCCCATGATGCCTCCCAATGGCCTCACCTATTGTCAAAGGACCCTACTATAAAAGGTAAAGGGAAAACACTTTCAGATGTTGCCCAAGGAACTTGTGCATGAGAACGACATGGGATTTTAAGGTTTGAAGAGCTGAGCTAAGGGATGTGCCAAGAGAACCCCACTGTTCCCAAAGTGCACACAGCTCCAGGAACTGAGCAGATACACTTGAAGTTCCAGCTGGTAAGGAATCCCCACTCCCTCCCTAGGAGCTGCTAGGATAAATGTATTCAACCTGAAGCACTAAGTATCTCTGTGCTTTGCTTGGGACCCACCAAGCATCTGAAGCTGACTTAAAATCACCAGGCAATCAGACAATTCTCATTGGTGCTCTGGGCACTGAGCTCCCAGATCACCCCAATCTCAAAACTATGTAGGACCCAGCATGGAGTCAATGTTTTTAAAAATTTTCACTTTGATTGTGCTTACGCTGATTTGGAACATCTTCAAAGATCTGATCTTAAGCCCTTTTGAATAGGAACCCTTAGTTATCTTGTCAACTCCCACAGGAGTTTGGGGGTGCACATGGCATGCGCACTGGAACTATATATGCCAGGTTCAAATTACAAATGAGCCCACATGAGCTTCCATTTCCTCTGCTGAAGTGACATAAAGACAGTACCCCTCACATGATGGGCAACTTGAAAGACAAAATGAGACGAAGGATACAGAGCGCTTGGGAAAGCCCCTGGCACTCAGTAAGTACATAATACATGGCACTTTTCACCCTCCTGGCTACCAACATCCTCCTCATTTTATGGGAAAACATGAGTCCTAATGGTCACAGGGAAATGTACAATAAAATCTAGTTCCTTGAGTCGTTCAAACATCACCAAGAGGGCTATCACTTGGGAAAGAGGGACAAAGCCTTCATCAATACCTAATTGCGAGGCAGGGCTATTTTTCAGGCAAACAGGTTTAGACCTCAGTTTGACAGCAGATCACAGACCAAACACGTTGCTAAGAAAACACAAATCCATCTAGGTTCAACCTGTGGAGCAGCAGTATACATGCAGCTACTCATCAGCACGGTATGCAGCCTACCTCCTCCCCCAGGCTTGCTGGGTCCTCCTGGTGACAGTGGGCCATTGCCAAAGCTGGTCAGGCTCTCTCTTCTTCCTGAAGGTCTGATGTTTCCATAGTAACGGTTGACCAGAATTTGCCTGAGTGCCTCACCCTTGATTCAAACAGGATAATGAAATCAGGTTCTAGATTTAATGCATAACTGAGCAACTAATACTCAAAAAAGAAAACAACAACAACAACAAGGGGGTATTTGGGTATAATTGGCCCAGTTTCACTCCATGAACATAAATAAATGATTAATAAAAGCATTTGAAAACTCTGACGTTAACTTCATTATTTTCTCCAGAAAAATGTTTTTTTAAAGGACAGCAATCTAGAATATGACATACCTGAAGTGATAATCACACATCGATAAAGAATGCTAATTTTGAAGAGCTACTAACAATAATAAAGACGTACGGAAAATGTGAAAACACTGAAAATTCTACAGGTCAGCTTCCATATGCTGGTATAAATATGCTACTCCAACCACAGGGCTTCCTACCAAGGTCCCGAGAAAATATTAAGATACCAGAGTAAGAGAGAATAAGCCAGTATAATGACATAAGCCCAAAATAAGCCTTTCTTACAATGATAGTCGATAGGCCAAACGGTAAAGAGAAAATAACAATATAGGGGATAAATTAGTGGCAGGTGTCAAATATGTCAATCAAAAATAATCATCATAGGTAAAATGACTTTGTGGTCTGGAATTTGCTTTAAAATAATATGGGAGGAGAACCTGGGAAGAATGTAAATATGGTAAGTGGATCTGATTTGGCATCTTGGTGAAGGTGAGTTAACCACAGGGCTTGTCAAAACAGTATCCATATTTCAACTTCTTCGTCATAAAAAGTTTTGACAATATAAACATGCAAGGAATACTGGACCAGGAGGACAATAACTCTCATAACTCTAATAAAAAATAGATGATTGACTTTTTCATTAACACTAGGATGCTGAGCTAGCAGGGACCTATATTCTGATTATTCTGATTTTCAGGCATTTTCCCCCAGGGACTCCCATTCTACCTCCCGATCTTTCTAAAATTCAAAGGCTTGGTGGCTTTCCTCTGGATTATTCCCCAGGGACAAAGCAGGAAGGTGTGGAGATCCTGCAGTGTGTCATGGAGAGAGGTGAGTGAGAAGTCTAGCAGAGAAAGGTGCTGAAATCTAGCAGGTCTCTAAAATAGGGACGCCAGAGCTCCCCAGAAGGGACCTGCAACTGTAACAGGAGCCAGTCGGATTTTTAGAGACCTGTTAATAAGCTCTGAGAAGACCTGGGTCTGGAGACTCCAAGGGAGGGCATTGTCTGGGGAGGTGGGGCCAGGGAGGGAGGAAAGGGCAGAGGACGCTCCCATCCTATTGGCTGACAAAATCACCTGGAGTACCTGGCCACAGGTAGGTCCTCTCCCTGGTTCACTCACATGTTGCTAATCAAAGATTTTCTCAGGGACAAAAAGAATGAGGTAAACAGGTGTGGTGAGGGACAAGCCAGGGAAGGGGAATGCTGAGTTTTAAACGAATGTGAAGAAAATGAAAAAAATAAATCCCAATTTTCCCTTCTCTATTCTGACCTGTATGTTTCTAAAAGTCAAAGCCTTTTTTTTTTTTTTTTTTTTGCAAATGAGGGAAACAGCTCATAAAACTCATTTCCCACCTGTACTATCAATTCAAAATTTCAAGACCAGATCCAATGAGGAAGTTCCTTGTAATGTCTTATGCACTTTATTAAAAAGAAACTGTTTGCCCCGGTGGGGGAAAAAGCTTTCCTTACAAGATTCTTTGATGGCTGAGAAAACCCCATTTGGATATTGAGAGACCTTTTCTGGTATTGCCTGCCATCTCAGGCACCAGGAGAAACACAACAAAATTCTCCAAAGTGGTCACTGGGAAGTGGGGGATTTAAAAGCTGGTCTTCCTAAAGAGAAACAGATATTAAAGAACATTCAAAGAAAGGAACGGGGAAAAGAAAAAGTCAGCCACATGTTAAATACCAGAGATGAAATGTGATTTCCCCTTTTAAATATATCCCGGGGCATCCAGCTGATGTTCTTGGAGGAAGAATACAGACTTTAAGTTCCCAAGAGAGAGGTGACTAGCCGGACACCCTCCCCAGTCGCTGGCTGGATCCCCGGGCACCCTGAGGAGGCTGTTTGGCAGGCAGATGGCTGTGATGACAGCTGGAGGCCAGAGTCGGGAAGACCACAGGGCCGGATGGTCTGATGAATGAAGTCTGCTGGGCACCTGCCCTGAGCCTCCCGCCACCATGACACGCATGGGCCAGAGTGACTCAGTTAGGTTTCCACCTCCTGGTGGATGTTTTTCTCTTCCTTCCACATAGTGAGGAGGGGAAACAGCAAGACCTTGGGCAGCGGCATGCAGTCCGACAGGCGGGAGGGAAAGACAGGAGCACGTGGACACCAAACAGAAAGTCCACGTTTATGAGGACTGGATGCCAGGCTGCAGCTATGGAGGGACTGCACATTACCATTCAGCCTCTCCTCTATCAGAAAAGCCCCAGCAGTTGCCATGGCAACGGATGCATCAAATGGTACATCTCCCCCAGAAGAAAATATCATGAAACATTCTCATTATGGGGGGGGGGGGAAGGGGCAAATAAAAAAAGGAGCACATTCCCCGCAAACTTTGCCCCCCTCTTAATTATAAGGTCTTAGGCGCATAGTCATCTCACCTGCTCTCTGCACACACGCAAAATTTAAATGTACAGAAGAAAAAAACCCAAACTAGCAAGGGGGACTTATTTTTTTTTTTTAAATAACAAACGAGATGCTTTTATTTTCCTGAAAGAATAAAGATGGAAAATTTGAGGTAAGGAGGAGACTTGGAAGAGAAAAAAATGGCTAAGCATCATTATTAAAAGTTATGCAAATCCCTGGTGTGAACACTTAGGTTCAAGGAAAATTTCTGTGGTTGTTTTTCCTTTCCCTGAGCCATTGGTTTTATTTAAGAAAAATTAAAATCTGCCGAGAAAAGCCCTTCCAATCATCTTGATAAACATCACTCAAAAGGAATGACCTTATCACAATCTACCAGGCTAAGAAATCTGATGGCAGAGGAGGGGGAAAAGTCTTCCCAAATAGTATCACCTCTACAGCTTTAGCATTTGGTTGTGCATTTAAAAAAAAAAAAAAAAATGGGGCTGGGGATGTGGCTCAAGCGGTAGCACACTCGCCTGGCATGCATGCGGCCCGGATTTGATCCTCAGCACCACATACAAACAAAGATGTTGTGTCCGCAGAAAACTAAAAACAAATAAATATTAAAAATTCTCTTTTTTTTTAAAAAAGAATTTGGGGCTGGGGTTGTAGCTCAACAGTGGAAGGGAGGGAGGAAGGAAGGAAGGAAGGAAGGAAGGATTTTTTAAAATGCCAGTTTTTCCCCTCCCAAGTAATTTACATGTACAGTATGCAAACAAATATCAGTTTTGTCTCCACTAAGAAATTCCACACATATTGTTACCTAAGACTTAGAAAAAGGAAAAGTTACAGAGAGTTTCATTTGGGATAAATCAGTGACAAAAACCACCCTGCTATCCCCCTGAGTTTTTATTTCTATCAACTAAACCAGAGGCTATGAACCGTGTGGAAACAAAGCCACTGAGTTCATACAGCCATGTGCAAAGAAGAGGGAAAGCCATCTTTTGGGTTCCCAGGTCCCAGCCACGTGCCTGCTGCAAAATGGGTCTTCTCAGGTGAGCTGTGAGTCTCTCACACCCTGGTCAGTGCTAAGGTGGCATCTGAATTTAAAAATACTTTGTTTTTTCTACTTCTGCTGTGAACAAGACAACCTAAGCATTTCAAAATACAAGGCTGACTACAATCCGATAGATTCTCCTTCCCTGGATGCCAGATTCTGTGCTCAGTGCTTTGTGGATCAATCCGTATGACTGTCCAAAGGGATGGAGACTAGTGTCCCCTCCGTTTTGCACAGAAGAAACTGAAGCACAGGGAGGTTAACTAACTTGCTCCACAGCACACAGCAAGTACCTGGCAAACAGAGACTGGCATCTGTTTCTAATGCCAAGGGTTTTCAATACTGAGTCTCCTGAGCGCTCAGACCTCAAGGGACAGCTGGGTGCCTTTGCCAGCTACTTCTAAGACCTAGGATAGGACGTCAGTGGCAGCCAGGATGGAAACTATGAGAGTTCAAGGTGCCCCTGGTTGATGAGCTGCAGGAGACACAGGAGGCTGGAGGGGCTACAGGACTGTGCCCTGAATTCTGCAAAATGCAAACTTCCCGGGAGCTCCTCTCAAGCCACAGTCTGAGAAACGATAAAGTTTGTTTCTCCATCAGAGCAACAGAACAAAAAGCGATGTGGTAGGGCTGGCCAGCAGATCAGTGCGTGAGCATCAGGCTGCCCATTTATCGAAGGTGTGAACTCTCCGGGACACGGAGGCCCCCAATTCTTTACCGTGGCTGTTCATTTCCTGACCCCATGACCTTGGGCAAGGTATTGAACCCATCTGAGTCTCAGTTTCTTAATCTGTGAAATGGGGATGAAGGTCATGTCATCGGGTCAGGGCAAGCATTAACGTATGACGCCAATCTTAGTATGGTCATCGGCAGATGAAAAAGCTCTCACAAAACTGATTATCTTCCCAAAATGGATATTATGAAGATTGATGCTGGTCCAGATGCCGGTGGATACAGATGACTTTTTAGAAAATAGTTCTGCAGGGTGGAGTCAGCACTGTAAGAAAGTAACCACCCTTTGGCCAAGACTGTCCCCTCCTAGGAATCCACTCAGATATACGCCTGCTTGCCTCCTTGTCAAATGAAAATCTCACAAGCCGCACATGAACCTGAGGACCTGTGTGCAGCTGTTAACTTTCGAAGACTTTCAAAAGAGAACTCAGATACAACAGTAAATGATAAAAGCCAGGAACAGAAGCGACATGCTTAGAATAATCTCAGAGAGAACGTGCCCATGTTTATTGGAAGACGTGGTCCCATGGTTGAAGGAAAAGCCATCAGCATTTACAGCTGGGTAGTGTCACTATGAACTACCTTCGTTATAGTTTTGTGTTTATTGTTATCTATAAAATCATCAGTTGCTATAGGGGAAAAAAACTTGTTTAGACTCCACCTA